GTATGTATGTATGTATGTATGTAATTACTGTACTGCCATAGGAATCATAAACTCCTTGTAGAGGGTAGGGGGAAGCTTAGTCAAGTTCTCAAACTCGGAATCACTTGAGGTGCTTGAAAAAAATGCAGATGGCTGGGACCCACCTTCGGAGATTTTTTTTGGTTGTTCAGCTTTTATTTTATTTTATTTTATTTTTGGTACCAGGGATCGAACTCAGGACCTTCTGCTTGCGAGGTAAGTGGTGGAACCACTGAGCTCAATCACTGACCGTCTTCAGGGTTTTTAATACAGTAAAACCAAGTAGACCTAGAGGTGTAGCTCAATGGTAAAGTTCTTACCTAGCAAATGTGAGGTCCTGGGTTCAATTGCCAGTGGCACAAAAACAAACAACAGAACAAAAACAAAATAGCCTTGGTAGGTAGGAGAATGTGCAGTTTTATCAAGTTCCTACGTGATGCTGAAGCTATTGGTCCCAGTACCTCACTTTAAAATTTTTTTGTCAATATTGGGAATTTTAACCCAGGGCCTCTGCACTGATATATATATATATATATAGAGAGAGAGAGAGAGAGAGAGAGAGAGAGAGAGAGAGAGAGAGAGAACTTGTCTCAACATATATATGTTTATATATGTATACAAATTTATATATACATAGCATATACATATATATGTAAATATATTGAGAGACAGGGCCTTCTAAAGTCATGAAGTTGCCCCAAGCTGAGCTGAAGTTGAGATCCTCCTGCCTCAGCTTCCCAAAGCAGAGATTACAGGAGTGACCCACTGGTTCCACCCTTTAAGAACACTGGTCTGGAATGCCAAGAAGAGTGGGGGCCAGGTATTTCAGTGAAACGCTCCTACATCATCCAGGAGTGGAGGGTGAGTCCTTGAGTAAATAGAGGAAGCAGCGAGAAAGGCCTGAGCACCTGCTGCTGGCCGATGCAGGTGGCGCCCAACAAAGATGCAGACTCTTGGACTACAACTCCCAGGGATCCTCAGGGCGACTCTTGCGTGCTCCCTGAAGGTGCACGGAGGCGTGGGTGGGCCCACGGGACCTTTCGTCCAGCATCTCCGAGCTCAGAGCTGCGGTGGCTGCGGGAAGCTGCGGCGTCGACGGGAACGGAGGGAGAGCTGAGCCTGGCAGGTTAGTAGGAGCCACACGGGGGCCAGCTTCTCTGCGCCTCAGCAGTGTCGTCTAGGTCGGGCGTGCCAGCGCAGGAGTCCGGGTGCAGGGACGTGGGACGCCACTCTGGGAAGACGCTGCGGTCTCGGGCCGCTGTGGCCCCGCTGCTCCTTAGCGCCGCGGGTCCTGTCCCCAGCGGGAGAGACAACCTGCCCCGCCTGGCCCGGCCTGGGATCAGAGCAGTCTGTGCTGCAGGTGGCCTGGGCAGGCGGCCGCCCCCTCCTCTCGGGCCCCCGCGGGCAGGGATGGCGCAGGAGCCCGAGACCCGGGGCCAGGCGCCTACTGGGGGCTGTGGCCGGGGGCGGGGGGGTCACTCGGGCTCCCGCCGCCGCCGGGGTGGGTGCACCGCCCG